TGTATATTTTATACTAACATAGTAAATAAGTTTTTATTATTGTAATTACTAACAATTGGACCTTAGTCGTCTTAATAAAGAAGATTTATTATTATTATTATTATATAGCCTGTCTTTTTTGAAGACGAAGTAAAATGACAGTTCATTGTGCAAAAGTGTTGTCCGCGTGCGAACAGCTAGTGATTGCAGTCGATAAATATTCTATCGACTATCTACTGGATATTGGTCACGCTCATTGAATAAATACTTGTTTCATTTGAATCATCCTCGATCCATTATTCATCCAATTACTGAGCACACTAATTGTCAATTTTTGTAGGTTCAAGCATACACTGTATTTAGAACTATGTTCTGTGTATGTTGAGACATATTTTAAAGTTTTTAATTTTAATTCAATATAGATAATTAAATCCGGGTGTTGCATGTGAATAAAAATTGTTCTCGATACTATTACGCCAGCTGTTCAAATAAGTATAAAGAAGACAATAACGCTATTAGTAATCATTAGAACGTCGTAACGTTAACAACTCAGTCATATTTGGCAAAATTTTGTCTTCTTTCACAATCTATCGATAAAACTATCGCAAACATAACAACAACATAAAACATAACTATTTTATTTTTTTTTTGATTGAATTGATATTCAATTTTAAATTTTTATTGAATTGATATTCAATTATTTTTTTTTGTGAAATTACTCCACTAGTTTGTTATAATTATTAATACAAAGATCGAACACTCAGAAAAAAAATTCCTTCGTTCTGGCCGGATTCGAACCGACGCCTTCTAGCTTACCGTGCCAGACGCTATAGTACGCCACGGAACGAACCAGTTCATAGATTTCTCATAGACGGCGCTCCGACTAAAAAGTCGTTGAAAAAACCAAATACAAAGATACGACGTAAGCACATAGAAAAATTCGTGAGGTCCGCTGTTTCGTTCCGTGGCTTAACTGGTATAGCGTCTGGCACGGTAAGCTAGAAGACGTCGGTTCGAATCCGGCCGGAGCATTGTGAAATCGTCTTTAACTGCATAAGTATAGCGTCTTACGTGTAACGCTTTACGCTGATATGGCATATATTTTGCTTTTTTTGACTTTCTCTTATATTTTTGGGACAGAGGCCTGCAATCCCGCTGCCGGGAAGAGAGAAGGCATGACAGAAATTTTATCATATCTAAAAGGAACGAAAAATGCGAAGTTGGTACTTGAAAAATTGACCAACCCCAGAACTTGGGTTACAAAATCGGAAGGCGTGGAAATGAACTCGGAACGAGTTCCATTTAAAAGGGATGATTATGAAAAATTTATCGTCGACTATTACAAGTTCGTACTTATTAAACTAATATTATATAAACTTTAAACTGTTATTTATAAAGTATGGCATGTATTTACAGTAGCGGATTTGCCTAAGGCCCGGTTTTTTTTAAATTTATTGCTGGCCATGGAAACAAAGTCCTTCAGCCGAAAACATAAACGTTTAATTATATTTCTGTAAATATGGCCACCACAAAGAGGATAGGCAATTTGAGGCGGCGTGCTTGAATTGACTCGGGATTCCTTAGAACGGGCCGATACGGGTATTTTAGTTCGAGATTCGTATAATTACGCGTTTTAATCTTCGATTAAGGCACAATAGCACTATCCTATTCCACTTTAAACTAGATTTCACAAAATAATTGAAAGTCAAAATACAAACGACACTTTTCCCTCCAAAAGGCCCAGAGTTAATCCCCTAAGGCCCGGTAGGGCCTAGGGCGGCCAGATTTTTGGGGTGACCAATCGTGGAAAAACGGGTTTTAAATGTTTTATTCAAATCTGAAACCTCCGAAAATATTAAAAACTACCAGCTATTAAGTACTTATAGTTAACTAAATTTCTGAATCGTTTTCGATAAAATTTGGCAATAAAGTAAATTCATTACGTAGTCTACCAATATATAATGAGTGCTGAGAAAGGGGCGGCTGGTACTGACTACATGGCCTGGGGCCTAGGGCAGATAAGATTGCAAATCCGCCACTATGTATTTAAATGATCATTTGAAATTTGCAAATGCAGCAGTAAAAAAATCTAAACAGTCATCTTTTTTAATTATTGATCCTCTTTCTCTGAAATATAAAATAAATTAAATAAATGAATATTTTAATCTATTCAGAGCCACGTAAAAATGTTTGATTTGTCTATATTAATTTTCATAGTTTAATGGTGGGCCTCAAAAGACAAATAAGCATTAGAAATAACATTTTGGCTACTTATTAACTTCTTTTTTAAACAGTACAGGACGTATAAATAGCAATCTAATCGTAATTATGTAATTCAGAAATTAGTGTGACACTAATAAACATACTTTTTTAAATTGTCGAGCAGTCGCATTTTGAAGTATGAAAGTCCACAAACAGAGCAGCTAAACATGAGAGCTCAAGAAGACCTGCCCGAGTCCAACCCCTTCAATGACTTAGGAAATAACCAGCCTATTCGTAATGGCGCCCCACTGAAATGTCCAGATGGAGACAAGACCTCAGCCATGGGAAGTATTTAGTGCACGCACTTGAGTTGACAATGGGCATTATTCATAATTTTTTATCTACACTCGGAAAAAACTTTGTTAGCTGAGAGTCGACAGAAGTGTTTAGGCCTCATATTGTTATTGGGACTAAACACTTCTGTCGGCTTTCAGATAACAAAGTTTTTTCTTCTGTTTGTGCTTGTATTATTCAGAAATACAGACGTTTTAAAACACTAATTTGAGCATTTTATAATTTTGTAACTTAATTACCATTTTTTTTAAACTGAATGGCACTAGAATACTTTGTGCCAACGTCAAAGGTTAGGAAACGGACTTAATTACCTTGTTAGCTTTTTCTTAACATTTTGCTGGTTTTTATTTCAATGATTTCTTAGGTGGCATTGGAAATGTAATTTCCGTTTCCAGCGAATATTTAAAAAAAAGTAAATTGACATCACTGTCAAGTCAAATCTATGTCAACCATACAGCCTCTTTATTCTTACCATATAATAAAAATACATTATAAGGCTGTATGGTAGAACATTTGCCTACCCAAATAAATTGGTGAAAGCGTATAAAAAATGAAATTCTTGCTTTTTTTTTTAATTTATTGCTGGCCATGGAAACAAAGTCCTTCAGCCGGAGAAATTCTTGCTTCTGTGTTGTGTTTTCATCTTCAAACTATTGGCGGATATCCGATATGGCAACAAGGATTGGCGCCCCACTAACGGGACGGGACGGCAAGGAGTTTTTATGTGACGAATAGTATAACCTTAAGATTATGCCATTTTAGTTCTTATTTCAATGATAATGATCGTAGCTGCTAAATAAAGTTTCGGTATGCTTAGGAACGCCAAGCCGGCAGCCGCCGGGAAGCAGCAACCTCCGGGATGCCTCGGTAGCCTTGAATGCTTCTGAAGGTCGAGTTCGACTATGTGGGGCGAGGGGAGGAACGCACGGCAAGACTGATATGAAGAGAAATGCTTCGGCATGCCTAAGGATGCTTAGGCACGCTAAAGATGCATCGTGTTTAGGGATACAGCGGCGTAATTGCTATCAATGTGCACTTGCATGTAGGGACACCTAATGATCCCCTGCCGAGGCATATCGTCTAAAAGGTCTATAAAATGAAAATCTATAAATAACTTGAAGAAACAAAAATAGATTTCTTTCTTGTCATTCAAATTTTATTCCTGTAATTAAATCTAAAAACTTTTAAAATTGTACGAACGAAATTGTCGATAATTTTTTAACATATGAATTTCATGGTAGACAATGATCTTATATGTATAATCATTGATGGTAGGTCAATTGCTTTCACGTGATAAAAGCACTTTTTGATGTGTTTTTGATGCACATGTGGGTTTCTTATTACCAGGGTTTTGATTTCGGGAATGGTAAGTATCAAGGTTCAACATCTACGCTATGATCGGCTTAATCGAAAGATGCGTGATTCTCCGAGGCGATGATATAATTTTTTTCCCATTATATCGGTGTGTACCTTTGAGGATGGAAAAAAAATATGTACGTAGTTGTCTATGGGTTGATTGTGTATACATACATTCCGGAGTCGCCTATTTTATCAATGGTCGCTTCGCTTTTGTTTTCAGAATTAGAAAAACTGTACTCAATTAAGCAGTGATCGTAAACTTATTACTTCAGACAAAAAAATACAGAAAAGGAAAAAAAATGTCTAACAATGACTGTAATTATGTTATTACTTGAAAAAATCATAATAAATTAAATTTGTTTTTAAATTCTAGTCTGGTCTGTTTTTAATTTATTTTTAATTTAATCAAAATTGTATGTATTGTTAACATTTTATTGTCAATAATAACTTATGTGTTGCACTTTGATTTTATTTACCTAGTGCTTATACGGATTGTGTTAGTCGAAATTAAATGATTCGATTTAAAAGGTTAAATTATTCATGAATAAGCAATAAACGCGTGCACGATTAGTGGTAGTAAAGGCGCAATCACACTTTGTTTCGTACTGATGTAGGTTTATTTACGTATATGGAGGATGATTTAGATGTTGGTCGATTTGAAGTGTAACAATTGACGACACCCGTCAATTGTTTCGAAGTCGGGTTGGTCAATCGGAGCTCAGTTGACCGTAATGATTTGGCAGAATAGTTTTCAAACAAATTAAATGATCATCTGTGTGCATTATATTGTGTTCATTATGTTATCATATACCTATTCAAACAACTGAAAAACTTAGCTATTTAGTACTGAGTTCTCTCCCTCTCCCACAGTCAGTTTATCATTTACAATCATTGACTTACAATTATATGGACGTCGGGTACGCGCTAAAAAAGTGTCCGAACTTATAGGGCGTTAAAATCGTATACAGAGCGTCATTCACGCTTTAGTGTTCGTTTGTTCGACTGACAGCGAAGCAAGCAAAATTAGACAGTACTGCGATGACATTACAATTTAAATTCAACGTTTTAACTTATTCATATTCCTTTACATGTCACTACGTTTAAATAGGTTGACTTGGGACATTTTTTTCGTGGTTTTTGTATTAGACCCGTCGTCCATTTATTTGTAAGTCAATGTTTACAATATTTATTTCAAACATTTTAGATCTAGAATACATGCAAAAGCTAATCGGGTCACTACCACGGATTTTTGTTAGCTCGTGAGGTATTTCTTAGTTTCACAATCATTCAATTATTTTATTTTATTATTTTATTATTATATTGCGTTTTATTGTTTTCAAATGGTGTTGTTACTTTTGCACCGGGGTAGGGGGCATTAGTAACAAATCCCCGGTCTCACAAAACCGTTAAAATCTACATTTTTAAAGCATAATATCGAATAAACACTAACAAATGTCTGTAGCCAAATATATTTACCTCACCTTACCTTACACGGGATTTTTTTAAGGATACGTGAAAGCAGTTCTGTAATCGAAGCGCGCGTAAAAACTGTTACTTTTGCCTCCGGTCTGTGACGATGTGACCTCCTTACATCGTTATCCCACCTTTTTATCGCCTTTTCTCCGCTTCCTGGTCACTCGTTTTTAAATTTTGAATCGTTCTTTTATAACTCCTTTGCCTCGCCATTCTGATTTTGTTCCGTTCCAACGTCGCTCCCCTCCCGACCGCGGCAGCGAACACGTCTTCTCGTTAATTTTTTTAACCGTTTACCAGTTACCAAAAATTTCTTGTACCATAAACATTTTAAAGATTACAAATATTAATAAAACGGGAATTATATTTGTAAAACTGGATTTGTTATCACTATTTCTTTACCCTTTTTAATTTTGAACTTTAAACTTACTAAGCAAGAGTATGGAGGCTGCGGAGGCTATTACTCTCCTGGTTACATTACAATCCTACTGAACATTCCAAGCGGTACCAGCAGCGGTAACGCTCTTTCACAGGCGCCCGAACAGGGACCTACTACCCTAAGCCCACATGCTGAGTTCACTTCCTCATGGATCAATCAGTTCATCCATTAATTTGAATTAGTTTGAATATTTGCCAGTGGTCTTAGGCATGCGTCTTTATAAAACCATTCTGAGGAAATTCGATTTTCTGCCCTCGTGAAATTAAAAATTAGTTTGTTGCTTTACGTAGTAATGATATGGCGTACTGTTGGAACATTTATTTAACGTTAGTGATTATTTTGCGCAAAACGGAGGCTTGCGGCGGCGGCGGCGGCGGCGGCGGCGGCGGCGGCGGCGGCGGCGGTGGCGGCGGCGGCGGTGACAATGATTTTGGGCCGGATGATTCCAAATATTTGAATACAACCGATGACGTGATCGAAATCGGTGGGTGGCCCGAAGAGTCTAAGAAACCTCCTTATAAGAAGGAGGACTACGAAAAATTTGTGGAGGAATATAACGAGTAAGTATCAGTAAACCTGTGTTATTTATAAAATACTAACAACCTTGTACGACTATATCACTCACATCACGAATGACATCTTTTCTTCTATGACTTTTATAAGTTATCAGATTTTACTAAAGTGTAATTTTAACTTTTTATAACAAAACAAAAACCGATCTCGAAAGTACGTGGAATTACATCTGTTTGCTAAGTTTTATTTCAATCGGTTACCGGAACGTTTAGCCGCATTGTTGACGGGGAAAATGTCACCCTCAATATGAACACATACGTCAAATCTTGGTTGCGTCCTCTATTCAGTAGGTTGGGATTTATTTAATATGATTGCTTGTTTACTTATTCTGTGTTACAGATATAAAGACTACTTTATTCCGTCACAGTAGGTAATAAATGAAAATTAAAAAAGTGGGTAAGTTTCTCATTCATCGGAGCCGGATCCACGACTCCTTAATTTTAAGAAATGTAGAATAAATTAAACACTCGTGGAAATGGCAAGATTTCCCATGGAGTATAAACTTTAATAACTTTCACGTGGAGTACATAACGTAATTCCAATTTATTATAAACAAATATTTTCTTGGGAATACAAGATGTGTTTAAGTTTTTCTTACCATTAGTGTTCTTTTAACTAAAAACCTCCTACTAACAAAAGTATATACCGAATCAGCTTTACCCTTAGCACACGCGAGAAGTGGCTCCTGTCGTATTGGAGTGTACACAGTGAAGTAGCCTGTGCATCTCCGTTTTAGGAAAAGATCGACATAAATACCAATTTCAATGCTAGTGAGTAAATTGTCCTCATTCACATAAGACAACCTATCTAAATAAGTATTATGTAATAGTCTTATAAACTTTATTGTGTGTCAATTAGACAAAGGGAACTTTAAAATCCACGGACTTTTATAACGGTCCAGAATATTCTACGATCTGAACAACTAAAAATGTATAAAAATATAATTTTTGTCGCTCTCATTCATGTCTATTTTTAAGTCAAATAGGTCCTTTAAGCCAAACATTTACTTCAAATATAACAATTAGATAATAACGCGCACACACTCATAGCCCAAGGAATACCCTGTATCGCGGGTGCCATGGACACACACATATACAACCACAAATTACACCCAAACTCACGAGAGAAATAAATGTACGCCATGCAAATATTTTGGCAGTCCGGTAACCACTCCGCCACGGAGGCAGTTATAATCGCAGATGGTGACAATCATGGTGATCACGGTGGTGGTGGTGAT